CTCCTCCTCCTCCTCCTCCTCCTCCTCCTCCTCCTCCTCCTACCCCGACACGTCGATTCGGGAATTGTCCGTTTTCGGTTCGCGAGATGGCGTCGCGGCCGTCATTTTGGCGGGTCCAGGTCCATCGGTGTCGGTCCCAGGCCGTTCTCATTGAGGGGAAGTTTGCCAAAGAAAGGTCTGTCCACTGCCGAATTGTAGGATATTCACGGATTGTCATCTCCATAGTTTGTTATTGAGCGTGCGCGTTGATGTAGCCCCCCACCGCCGTTGTGTTCGCAAGCAAGCCGTTCTTTACCATCCACGTTCAGAGGTCCGAGTCGTCAGTGATGCCGAGTGATCGGAAAGCAATGCGTAGATCCCAGAAGCCTTCACATGATGCGTCTGCAGTGGCGGTCTCGGGCAAGAGCCCGCAATGCTGTCGATTGTTAGCGAGAAGCGTGCTCAGCCAATCCATCGAGAGGTGTAGTTCGTCGGACGTGCCTGCCGCAGACCAAATCAGAGGGACGTCAAAGCGAGACCACCGACTACGCCGAATATGGTGGATCAGCATTCGGTGGTTCGCCCCAGTCGGTATCCTCCGCAGTAGCTGGTTGAGACCGTCGATGGCCGATCGTGCATCCACGGATGTACTTATCGTGTCCTGATGCCCGGCAGTGCCCTGCGCTGGTGGTAACTCCACGTGGCCATCGCCGCGCAAGCTCCCACGTCCGCCACCCCCACAGATGGCAGGGTTCGGAACTGGAGGAGGAGGAGGAGGAGGAGGAGGAGGAGGAAGGGGGAGGGGGAGGGGGAGGAGGAGGAGGAAAGAGGAGGAGGAGGAGGAGGAGGAGGAGGAGGAAGAGGAGGAGGAGAGGGAGGAGAGGACTGGGGTGGAGAGTGGGGGGTGGTGCCCGATTCCCTCCCTGTCCGCTGCGGCCGTCGCCGTGGCGATCTGATGGCTCGGGTGGTCGGGCCCCGCCTTCGCCGGAGTCTGAAGCCGGGGGTCCCCGGGATCTTGGTGCGCCTGACGGGTCGGGGTGGGCCATCGGGCGCTCTGGGGCCAGTTGGAGTTCCCGGAGTAGGCATCCCTGGTAGTGGATCAAAGTCGCTGCGTTTGGGGGCCTCGCTGGTTCCAGTCGTGTGCCGAGCACTTGGGTCGATAGGACCTCCTCCTGGAGCTCCAGTCGGGGGCGGCAAAGAGGGGGGTGATGACTAGGGGGGGTGGATATCATGGCGTGGGCCATGATATTTCCCCAGATCTCATGGCGCCTCTTCCTATTTCATGACGTCCCTGGCCCCCCCGCTGTGCCGCGCACATGCCGCCGGTCATGATTTGCACCCCCCCCTCTTGGACACCCCCCTCTTGGCCGCTCCCGATCCAGGGGGAGCCGGAGGAATGGGCAAGGGTGGAGGGGCCGGGAAAGGAGCTTGGGTGGGAACATGTTGGGGCAAGGAGGAGTTAGGCAGCCGCGCCGTTGTTGGGAATGCTGCCGTCAGTCGCGTTGACACCTGGGGGGGGGCCGAAGTTGGCAAGTCGGTTCTGAAGCCGTGGTCGACTGCCCCAGCAATTTCTTGGGTTGGATCAGCCGTCGGACTTTCCCGGGCAGTGCGGGATAGTCCTGGCGGTTCTGGTGCAATCCCGAACGGTTGTAGAGCAGAGACAGCGTCGTCCCGCGTCACCCTCGAAATCGGAGGGGGGATCGGAGGCGGGGCGGCTAACGGAGGAGCTTGGGGCGGAGGGCCCCGAGGAGGAGGGCAGGCAGGGGCCGCTTGGCGGGAAACCATGGATGGGGGATCGTTTTCAGCGCGTCTTGGTGACAATGATTTGACAATAGCGTGGGGGGCTATGGTGAAGGGCAATGCGGCCGTAGTCGGGGCTGGGGTCGGAGTCGGTAGCGCTGGAGGTTGCATTGCAATCGCTGGTGTTGCTGTAGAGCTCGCACTGGCAGTAAACCCTCCAAATGGAAGCCCTAGGATATTTAAATCCCTTAACCTTGTCACTGTTTGCTCTCGTGTGATCGCCGGTCTTGGGTTGCCTCTCCCATGCGGACCCCCATTGTCGGAGATGACCGATACAATTGTTTTTTTCTCTCGTCTCGCCCTGGGATTTGCGGCTCCCTCTCGTCTCTCTCTCTCTCTCTCTCGTTTGGTCTCGGCTCAGGACTTGCGGCTTCTCCTTCGTTCGCCTTGGGATTGGAGCCGCCAGGTCGGGGGCCCAGAGACTAAGCGGGGCACAATGCAGAGTCGGAAATTATTCCCCTGGGGTTTTGTTCTGGGGTCATGGAACAGCTGTTCCTCACAGGGCATCCAAAGGCTTCATCGGTGGCAGAGCTCATGCCAAGTGTTAGACTGATCAACAGCAGACACACGCACGGAGGAATGAACAACATATTACGCGGTAGCAACCGTACTCGTTGTAATAGGTTGGGTCGATCCGTGGTTATTGTTGTCGGGGGGGGCTCGGAATTGGTCGTATCGTAGCCGATGGTATCCGATGGTACGGTCGTGGATCCCCCGTTCGGTCGCATAATAGCCCTATCACGTTCGGAATCGGCGTCCCTTTTCGGCATGTCGGAGTCAGATAAGAGGTGGTCCCGAAAAAACAGCTCACCGAAATCCTTCTAGGGGCGGGTGGAGCCAGGAAAGTCACGATTTCCAAGACCGAATGTTTGTTTCCCTGCGCCCCAGACACAAGCGCCAAGCTCGCAAACCGAGCCAGGGTGAAACCCAAACATGCCGCCGCCGACGCACTATGCAGCGCTAAATGAGGAGGAGGAGGAGGAGGAGGAGGAGCGAGGAGGAGGATCCTCAAAGTAGTTCCAAATCAGCCAGCGAGCACGCTGGCTCCTGCTGCGTGCGGGGCAGGTCGGCATATTCATTCAGAACGGCATGTGCCACAGCCCGTTGCAACGTTACCCCCAAGATTCCCCACGATCTGTGTTGCAATCCCAGAGCGTGGCCACGTCGAGCACGCGGGTGGTCGTTTTCGGCACGTCCTGTGGCCAAATCTGGCACCAATTGAATCGCTTGTTTCCCCCAGCGCCCGCACACTTCCGCCCCAACCCGCTTGTAATGACTTCCCTGTAGGTGTTGTTGTTTCCGTGTTCACCCAATTCGAGCAAACGTCCCCCGCAGTTGCTCGTGCCCAGGCGCGGGGCTCCATTCCCCGAGATGGGCGATAGAACCGGCACATCACAAAAGAAGCGTTGGCCGTTTGCCACAGTGAGGCATGGTGCTGCCAAGTCAACGCGTCGCACATCGACTGTTGGCGCAGGGATGCGTGTCCGGTTCAAGACGCGCTCCACGCTGCGGTCGGGTATGATAGATAGATGTTGCCTCCATGCTGCAATAGGTGATGTATGTCTGGCATGCGTGCGTGCCCCCAGCGTGCTCACGAGGCGTGCGTGCCCATGGGCATCTGGGCCATCACACGTAACAGCAATACCGAGTTCCAAGTAAGCCGTCCTGTCCACCCAGTATTGTCGCATGTTGTGCCAGCCACTTGTGTCGCAACCAAGCATTGTGGGCAACCTTGCGCTCCATAATGCAATAAGTTGGTGTAAAATATGTGCGATGTCAATCTGGCTCAAGGATTAGCATCAAGCATCCACACATTCCTCATACATATCCTATCTCTCTCACCTGAGCTCGCACATTATATTCTCAGATCGTTTGCGAAACAGGCCAGAAAAACACGAGATCTCTACTCCCACATCGGTAGCCGGGCGCCGTGTGGAGGCACGACTCAAAAATCTTTTGCAGCAAATGGATGGTGTCGAGATGGAGACGGGTATCCAACCGCATCCTCGCGATTTTTCACTTCATTGACGACGACATTTTTCCAGGAGTTCGATTCCCATTTGCACAGACACCCCGCCCAGAGGCGCCAGTTACAATGGGATCTATGAGTACCACGTTCCGGGAATGCCTCGCCCCATGTCATGAAAGTATCCCGGGCGTTGGGGTATGAGCTTAAACAGTTTAAGCAAAGGGTGGATGCCGATATGGAGGAACAGAACATCCGCATCACGAGCATCGAAGACGATATCGAAACAATGCAAAAATACATGCAGTCATATTGTACGCCAGCAGACATCGGCACACGCCTCGAAGAGTTTCGAAAAAAACAAATGAACAAGTACACCAAGGTCTATTGGGACAACTTCGGCTACAAGACCACACAGGACATCGACACTTGCGGTTGAAGCTCTACCACACAACACTCTTGCAGACGCTGAAAAATGGATGGCTAAAGTGTTGGAGGACGCTCATGGCCCAAGTCCTCCAAAAACATATAGCAAAGGACCTCTGAAAGAAGACTTCAAAAGCATGCTGTTCATCGAATTTCCGACCCAGGCTTTAGCCCAACATGCCCTGACAATTCTCCAGGACGCGCGTGAAACAACAGAATCCAAAAGAAGGACCTCGCCGGGTTTGGCGCAACACGGGCGCCCCCATCGAGAAGCGGGCCGCTGCGTCATCATTATTCAGCTTGCGCTATAGATTGACGCAGCGGGGTTTCGAGGTGAAGTTTTTGAAGGTGGACGGGGGAGCCGATATATTCAATGCTGGAGGCAAACCGATATTGAAGGCCACAGTGGATGATTGGAAGCTGAATCTAGCGCGGGCCGCATGGGACGACCATCAAGACGCTCCAGAATGGAAAGAAGCACAACAAAAGATCACAGAGAGATTGGAGAAAAAACGCTGCCAACTCATCAAAAGGAGCGGGCAAGAGGTAAGCCCTTCAGCGACGACGCCAAAGACGCGCCCGCATAGTTTCACCTTCTTGGAACAACAGCGGTTCTGAGACCCCGAACGCAACATTAAAAAAGTCAAAGAGTTAACAGAAGAGGAATTGGTGAAAATTACAACCCACATGGAACATCATGATATTCATATCAGCCCCGCGACTCATGCCTGAACCCCCCAACTCTTTGGCCGGATTGTTTTTCTTCTTTTCGCGGGGGGTCAACCTTCGCGGCGGCCCGTTAAACCCGGGGCCCTTGGCGGCGCATGGATTACGCGCGCGAGTTGCCATTGGAACCCCTGAATTTTTCCGACTACTGTACAATTTGCAGTTGAGTACGATTGGTTATATCATGTACTAGCCCGCAGTTGCTCCTAGAGCGCACATTGTCCTGCCGTGCAAACAAATATTAGACTGCAACTGGTATCATAATACAACTGGTAGAATTGTGCGCCCCAGTTCAACTCCTTAGTACAAATCCTTCGTACTAGTACAACTCCCTAGTACAACTCCCAGTAGGACCCCTGGTACAACTCCCTATTACTAGCTCAATTCCTTAGTGCGACCAGTATTAGAATGTTGCTGCATTGCGCGTACAATCTTCACGCTTTTCCTCTGGTTGCGCTGGGTCGGGTGGGGCCCCTCGCGCGGGCACCCCCGCGGCTGAGAATTCTAGACCTTTCGCGTAACCAGCCCATCCAGGAACGATGCCCAGAGGACCTCGATCAGGGAAGTGAGCAGCACACAGAGGAAGGGTCCCCCAGTGGAGGCCTATTGGAGCGTTGTGGTGGCCTGTTGGCCCGGACGCCTTTTCGAGCGTCTTGGGTGATTCGGAGAGTTTCTTGGAGCCTTTTGGGGGTCTCTTCGGGCCTCTTGGAGGCCTCTGGGGCGCCTGTTGGGGCCTCCTGAGGCCTGCTGGGCGCCTCGTTGGGGCCCTTTTGAAGTGTTTTTGGGAGACTTGGGAGCGTTCTTGGAGCCCTCTTGGTCCATTTTGGAGTCCTCGTGAAGCGTCGGATGGCCATCGGAAGCGAAAAGGCGAGAAAACACGAAACATTTATTTTCTTTAGGTTTTGGAAGGATTTGGACCTCTTCGGGGCCTCCTGGGGGAGCTCTTTGGCCACTTGGAATCGTCTTGAAGCGGTCTTGGGGCCTCTTGGAGTATCGTGGGAGCCATCTTGAGGCGTCTTGGGATATCTTGAGCCATCTTGGAAGTCATCTTGAACTCTCCCACGCGCTCTTGGAGTCATCTGAAGCAGTCCCCCCCAGGAGGCCCAAATGTGGCCAAATCCTTTTTGTAAAATCAATGATTTTGGCAGTCTCGCCGAGGCCTCTTGGAGCGTCTTGAGTGCCTCTGGGAGGCCTTTTTGGAGCCTCTTGTTGGTTTCTTGGGAGCCTCTTGGGGGCCTCTTGGAGCATCTTGGGGGCCTCTTGAGGGCCTCTTAGAGTCAGTCTGTCAGTCGAGCCATACGCCGGAGCGCGCGGGCAAGAAACAAATGCAAGACATTGCGTTTGTTCTCACCGCTTTGCGGGAGCCGCGGCTTGGCTAATTCACACCGTTCGTTTCTGGATGGGGAGGGGGACGAGGAAGAGAGGGAGGCGGAGGAGAGGCAGGAGGGGGGAGGGAGACGAAATCTATAACAAATGTGTGCCAAGCAGTTGGCTCGCTGATGCATTGCACTATCTCGTCCTCATTGGAAAAATGCAGAACGATAGCGTCATCCAAACATTTCGACCATTCATGCCTTGGCCTGCCTACAGCTCTGGCGCATGCTTCGGTGGCTGGACGCACACTGCTAGGTTGAAAAGTAAGGCGGCGCAGAAAGTCAGAGTTCGGCGCCCTGCCTATTTTTCCAAACCGTAAAAGTTGCTGCCCGGCTCTCGACATCACGTCTTGGTTCGAGATTCGTGAGACGTACGCGTGGGGTACGTGCAAGATGCGACACATGCATTTCGTTTGAAAGCCGTCAAGCATTCTACGCTCGGTTTTGCTAAGCCATGCCGAATTCAATGAATACATGACCTTACTAGTCATTAAGGCTTGAAAAATTTGGATCTTCCTAGCTGTACTAATGGCTGCATGCTTCCAGGCACGACTGTGTCGGCAAAACTCGCCCCAAGCAGCACCCAATATTTTCCCCAATTCTCTGCGAAGTTGCCCAGCGGTCGAAATCGTATCTCCCAGATAGACCATCGAATCTTTAGCGAGAACTGGCGTCCCAGAGGGCGTCAGGAGGCTGATCTCGCAGCGGACTGGCATCAGCTGAAATTTACCCCAATGCAGTTCCATACCAACTCTTGCCCCAGCATCCGCAATTTTTGTCCAACAATGTTTGCAACTGGATTTGATTGCGGCCCACCAACAAGGTGTCGTCAGCATATAGCAAAAAGCCAACGACTCTTCTTCCAGAGCTTGTCGTATTCCAGCTTCTGCGTGGCGCGCGGCATCCTGAACAACCATCGTCATGATCATGATGAAAAGGACTGGTGAGAGGGGGCAGCCTTGGGACATACCCGATAATTGACGCCTTTCTGAAGATTTATGTCGCCCATCTGCAACGCAAAATCGCTTGCCCCCGTAATTGTTGAAGGCACTCCACATTTCCGCAGATGTTCCAACAGAGCCCCAACGTTAAGTGAATCGAAGGCCTTTTTTCCAATCCAGTGCCACGAAAGCTGCACCACCATCTTTGTCAGCATACGAACATTCAATATATCGGCGAACAACGCGTATAGCATCTGATATCCCACGTTTTCTTCTGAAGCCGAATTGCGTGGCGGATAGTCGGTCCTCTGCTCTTGCATCTTGCAATCGCCGTAAGATAAGATTTGCAATAAGTTTGTACGCTACGCAAAGTAGCTAATAGGACGGTAGGTGTCGCAATTGTCGACGGCGCTTTTGTTTTTGTAAATTGTTGAGATGACCGATTCCTTCCACTCCTCAGGCACCGCCTCCTCGTTCCAGCATTTGTTGCATAGATCGGTTATCCAATCAAGCCCACCAGGGTCCGTAGCAATTGTTTTCCGATATTTTGCTGGTATATCATCCACTCCATCAGGTTTTCCCCGCTTCAGCTTTCTGATTGATTTGTCCACTTCGTCCGCCGTAAAATCTGCTTCCAAAGCTGGCAGTGGGTCGGCTACTGCATCGTCGTCAAGAAGCTCCGCAGGCCGTATCTTCCATTGCACTTTCTCCAGGTATTCTGCCATAGTTTCAGCTGTTTGCGCGTTGTCCACCAAATCCCCAGGCATGTTTATTCGCCTTCCCTGGCGGCGCGGTTTTGGCCGGCAATGTCTTTTCAGAGCGTCCCAATTGCCACTCGAGATCTCCTTGTCGATCCAATTTGTCTTGTCTTGTTTGCACGATTTACGCACTTCCTTCAGCAAATGTTTCTCTTCCACTTTGTTATTTGTTGCCCGTGCTTCGCTGCGACGCTGTATGAGGTCAAGTGTGGCTTGCGTAATCCATGACTTGGAAATCTCTTTTTGGCGGCGTGGTAGCGTATTAGCTGCTAGTTGCGTTGCCGCTATACGTCCCCCCCACATATTTTGTAAATCGATCGGCGGGTCCATGTATGAGGTAACGGTCCCCATGAACGTATCCACATCTGTTTTCAGTATTCCAGGATCTTCCCCTGCATGTCTGCTTGGTCTCTTCATCGTTGGCGTCGTCTGTAGCTCATGTGGTATCGAAATCTTCGCGATCACCAGATAATGGTCAGTAGCCAATGCTGCTTCCCGGTGGCTTCGTAATGACGCTATTTGTTGTCGCACCGAAGCTTCGCAAAGGATCAAGTCCAGCATGTTGTATTCATCTTCAGATATATCACCCAATGGTAAAGCACCCGCTTCCACGAAAGTAACTTTATCTTGCAACGCCTGATGGTAGAACGTGTTCGCAATCTGTAGATCCATGCCGGTGCAAAATTCAATCATCAATTCCCGGTTAGGCTGTTCAACTTCGTGTTGTGTTCGCCGTCCCCATCCAAAATCACCTAAGATAGCATCTCCCCCTGGCTGCGCCTTCCCCACTCCTGCGTTGAACTCGCCAAAGATCAGCTTACCAACGTTGGAGTTGCAGGGCCGGCACCTGGAGTCCAACATCGTATAGAAATGTCGCCTTACGGAGAGCGGCTTGAGGTTGTGAAGGGCGTACCTTGCAATGATTGTCATCGTCCCCATGTCCGTTTTCATCATCAGCCAAGCAAGTTTATCAGAAATTTGTTTGTAGGATTTGATGTTGCTTCGACATACAGGTGCAAAGATAGACCCAACCCCTGTCCGAGTTTGCCCTTGTGTATCTTCGCCTGACAGAATAAGTTTGTGCCCATTCACATCGTGAATGTATGTTTTTGGTTGGCGGGTCCCTTGCACAGCTAAAATGTCAATGCCGTATGTCTCCATATGCAAAATATGTTTTCCGATCTTCGTCTCGGCGAGGCCTCGAACGTTCCATGTCGCCACTGCGATGGGAATCGAATTGGGGAGGGGAAGAGGAAGGGCGGGGGCGGGGGCAGGGGAAGGGCGGACGGAGGCGGGCGGACAAATTGTGGGAGTTTGGTGTCTTTTTGCCCACTGCGGCCGAGAATGCGGTAGAATTCGCAGGTGAAGACGTGGTGGTCCCAACAACGTGATTGGACGCTGCTTCATTTTGAGCGTCTGGCAGTCTCTGCGTTTGATCGGCATTTTTGTCCGAATCACTATCCACAAGGAGTTCCGCGCATCCCAAGCGCAAGCTTTAAGATACATGTATTCAATTCTGGGAAATGTTGGAAAACAACGCGCATGAAGAAGAAACTGGATCGACCCCGGCGCTGGTTGGAAAAGAACTCTGACGGGTTGGGTGGCCCAGCGTTTGCCAGTATTGTTTATTATTTCCCTTCGATGTTCCTTTGGCTCCTCCTTTCATCCCCACGGAAAACCTCTGCAAAATTGTATCACATGTTTGGAATATTTCCGCAAGTTTGGGGTAATCCTGCAGCTCGCTCCAATCTGCCCATTCCTTCTCCCAAATCCGTTCGTTCGCGTCGCCACCAACATATACTTGATATGGTGTTTTGTCCGAAATTTGTCTCGTAAATGTGTTTTGCATGTCTTACTTCAATACATATTTTAAGCCAAAACATAAGTTGCGAGCTGCGCGTTCTGCAAGTTCCCGGTCTGCATAGTGTATTGGATCCATGTTGAAGTTTTGCACTACGTAGCTGTGCAACTGCCGTGTCCCGGGCGAGCATCGACGAAAATTCCGCGAACATGACGTTTCTGAGCTCGCCT